TGATTCTTTACAGGAGATAAGGCAGCTGTTTGGATGTAAAGGCTGCAGTCCCAACCCTCGCTAATGATTTCAAAGCTGTTTCTTAATCCTTCTATGAGGAGTGAAACATGTAGGATTCAGATCACTGTTAGGAATAACCACATGAAACAGTACGGTCTATGTAACACAAGAGGTTAAATAGTACTTTTTCTTCTTAGGATCCATGTATTCATTGAATTTTCCCTGTGCTTTGCAGAAAGACTGCAAATCATGCCATGCAGTGATTTCACAGAATTTGCAGTTTTCGGTGGCATTCTGTAATATAAGTGTGTATCCCTAAACACCTTAGCTTTTATAACTTTGGGTGCATTGTAAGTAATCGTTAGATCTCACTGTGCCCTTGAAATAAATACTAAAGAAACATGCTACGCTGAGAAATTACATTCATCCTCATCTTATAAGGGAAAGGTGTGCATACCTGCAGGAAAGCATCGCCTACTTTACTGTTTTTTTTAAAAAGGGGATGGAATGAAGCAACGGACAGTGGGCATTTATAAAGAAGTGTTACAGCTTCATGATGCCTTACAGTAGTTTTCTAAGACTCCTTCTCCCATTCCAGAGAACCTTCGTCCTTCCCCTTCACAGTAAGAAGGCGAAGAAAGCTACTGAGAAGAAAGTTTATGCAGAGAGAGACTGATTTAAAAATACTATATGACTAAGATAAAAACATAGTCTGTAGAGCAAATCCACAGAAAGGCAAAACTTTATCTCTCAGTTTGATTTGGTATCTTCAGCTGTCCTGAGGATGAGACATCTGAATTACGCAAGTCATTAATAACCAGCACAAAAAATTACACCCAGGTATGAAAGTTTACAGTATTAACAGAATGTAATTATTGTGTGATGGCAATTGTTGAATTTTTTAAACTGATTTCAAGACAATTAATTAAACAACACTATAGTTCAGGAAAGGTGTCAGGCTGACATACTAGAGGATTATAGAATCAAATTCCTTACTGGCTTCTTTGTAACTGCATAAAACTCCATTAAATACCAGAAAATCAAGCCTAAATACATTTTAAAGTTAACTTCTCAAGCAATAACTTTGCTATGCTTTTATAAATTCATATGCCTTCTTTGCTGTTGAAAAAAAGGTCCAAAAGGTAGAAGGGAAACTCATCATTAAGGCTACACACACCCAGGCATAGAATCATAGAATGCTTTGGGTTGGAAGGGACCTTTAGAGGTCATCCAGCCCAACCCCCCTGCAGTGAGCAGGGACAGCTTTAACCAGATCAGGGTGCTCAGAGCCCCGTCCAACCTGGCCTGGAATGTTGCCAGGGATGGGGCCTCCACTACCTCTCTGGGCAACCTGTTCCACTGCTTCACCACCCTCAGCGTAAAAAATTTCTTCCTTATATCCAGTCTAAATCTATCCTCCTTTAGTTTAAATCCATTATTCCTTGTCCTATCACAACAGGCCTTGCTAAAAAGATTCTCCCCATCCTTCCTATAGGCCCCCTTTAAGAACTGAAAGGCGCAATAAGGTCTCCTCGCAGCCTTCTCTTCTCCAGGCTGAACAACCCCAGCTCTCTCAGCCTGGCCTCACAGGAGAGGTATTCTATCCCCCTGATCATTTTTGTGGTCCTCCTCTGGACCCACTCCAACAGGTCCATGTTCTTCTTGTGCTGAGGGCTCCAGAGCTGGATGCAGTGCTCCAGGTGAGAACGCATGACCCTCTGTGCCTCTGTGTGGAGAAACCATTTTTTAAAGGAAGAGACTGGTGAACCATCCAGAGTTAGTTTGTGGCATCTCTTGTGATACAACCAACTACAGATATAACCTGTCTAAGTAATGCCTTTGCGATATGGACATCTGTAGAAAATGGGATCCAGACACAGAATCTAAAAATACAAGCAGATCGCAGCAAGGTTCTGATCATTATGGAACCTGGTGAAGTTACTGTGGTATTAAAAGTATGACCACTCTAAAGCTCTTTATGAAGGCCAGGGGTACTACATATGGGATCCATTAAGAGACATAAGGCTTGATTGCATGTAGCCTTGTCTTAAATGAAAGCCCCCTGCATTCTGCTTAATGAAGTAGAATTCTGAGATCCACTGTTGCAGCAGTATTAAACATAAAGTGCTCTTTCAGTTGGGTCATTCTTTATTCTCTTTGTATACATTTTATATATATATATGTATGTATTTATGTGTATGTGCGTGTGCAGCTGAAGCATGTAAATAAACCCTACAACTGACTACTTTAGGCTGCCTCTGCCAGAGCTCTCAGTAGAGTGAAGCATAAATTTCCTTAAGACCCTTTGGCAAGCTCATGCTCAATTCAAACTGAGATCCTTTCTCACCTTCTACAGAACTGCAAACTCATTAATGGCTTTATATTGCTTATTGAGTCATTCAAGCATACACAGAGCATGTTAGATTTCTTCCTGCTATCTCCTCCCTGGGTTATATAAGGACACACTTTCATTTTTGCAAAGCTTGCTAGGTTATGCTGCTTGCAAGGGCACTGATGAATATGTAGCAAACATGTTTGCACTTCCCTCTGTTTTGAACCACTGACAAACTCTGAAACAGATAGCTAAAATGACCCCTCTTTAAGCTGAAGACAGAGAAAAGTAATTCTGAGGGATTTTAATCTCTAAGGTGGGAAAACAAGAAGAATTAAGATTTTTTTATTAGAGCAGGTGAATTCCCATTCCATTTTCTTTTAATAGTTCACCATGTGAACAGGAATAAATCCTACTGTTTGCTTTGTCCAATGGACAATAGATAAACCCCAATAATTTAAGTAATTATATTATCCAAAATTTACTCACTATCCAAACATTACTCACTTTGTCTTATCTCATCCCATCACAGGTAATATGCATAGCAGTGTATTCAAAGATGAACAGCAAGGAACTGATGGCTTTTCTACAGGCATCTAATCAGGCTTTGGTTGCTGATAAATCTGGCAGAAAACCATGTTTTTAAAAGGTAGATATGAGCTTGAAGAGGCAAAAAAACACCTGATAGGATTTTCAAAAGTACAGAGGTTTAACCATGACTTAAAATGGTGTTAACTGAATATGTAGATGCTTTTGCAAATCCTATTAGCAGCCTATTTGCATACCCTGTCTGCAGACAGAATGCCTGATGGTGGTGCCACTGAGTGTAACTGGGGATGACACTGAGGTGACTTCTGCTACCATGTAAGCAATAACCTTCCTGAATTTAGTTCCATGGAACTATCATAGATGTCTGCTTCAACTTATGTGTAGTTGCTCACCACACTGTGGAGAAATTGGCAGGTGTCAGACCATTCACACACTGGTATTAAACAGTTTTCCATGGCTTTAATCTTTTAAGGTTACTCAGGTTTCCACAGGATTCAGGACAGGTGAAACAAGAAGGATCCTAAACTGCAAGATCCGTCCTAAAGGTAAGAATTTTATTCTCCTCATATACTCTTTCACAAAGCTGCACTGATCCAGCAGCTCCAGGCAGAGTGCATCTCCCATAACCAATCTTACTCTTTTTCACTGCATGCATTCACCAACAGCATGAGAAAGTAAAATGTTCAGCATGCAGAATTCCTGGTTCCCAGTTATACAGGAATGAAAGGAAGGAAGAGCTGCCTAACTGGCCAGGCTTTGGGCATACTGAACCACAACAATGCCCCTGAACTAGGCAACTGCTAGATCAGACACTTCACAGAGCATCTCCTTCTACTGCCTTTTTTATCACATTATGGAGGATGGCTCATTCCAGTGGCCCATGAGCAAAAGAGGGTCAGAAGAACTTCACAGCCTTGTGGCATTAACACCAACGTATCTGAATACACTGGTCATAGCCTGATAAGAGCTCAAGGACTGAGGTGACCCTAAGCTTTTAAAAGAATGCAAGAGGACTGGGAAAGCACTCTAATGCACTTCCTCTATTTTATCTGGTTGTGACTACTGTAGCACAATAGTGTTAAGTGAAATACATCCCCCCTTTATGTTTCTATGATATTATACAAGCCTGATTTCCACCTCTCTTGTTTGCAACACGTTTTTTCAAATTTATGGCAAAATCTAGTTAATGTGCATTACATTTTTGCATCTTAAAAGAATACTAGGATGAAACGCATGTGAAATAATTCTATAGTTTTATAATAGGTTTGTATGGTCCATTGTTATATAAGGCATTATAAAATGCATTATTTATCCCAGCAAGCCCACGACTTACCCTCAGCATAGGGCCATTCTGGAACACATGGGGTTCATCACAAACTACACAGTATTCATTCAATACGGGTATCCGCTGCTCAGCAAATTCAATAGTCTGAGAACAATGAAAATGAGAATAACAACATCTGCTTTAAAATAATTAACAGTCAGCTCATGCTCCACAGTGTTTCATAAATGGGTAAGATATGACATCCTACCTGCACAAGAAAGCCACGGTCTCGTACCGGAATGCATTTTGCACCATAATTTTGCTGCAAGGAAAAAATTGAGGCAACTTCAGTGTTCGTAGACTAATTATAAGAAAATGGTAAAACATATGTATTTTTTGTGTGCAAATATGTTAACTAAACAACATTTGCATCTAAAAATATCTCTCATTTGCAAAAAGCAGCCATTACAAATAATCAATCCTTTTACTGTTTGCTCAGCATGCTGTAGACTTTTAGCATTTCTTTTTAGTTCTTAAATCTGATGAAGTTTTGTATCTCACCATCCCAAAAACTTTAATGCCAAATGGAAACACCAGTGCCTTCACTCCACTCTAATAAACTGGCATTTGGTAAATTCTATTAAATTTTAACTGCATATTGTTTATCCAAATATGGGCTATCTGCCTAGGCTTGAAAGACTAGTGTAACTCTGAGAACAGCTGAAAATCTTTTTTTTTTATATTTACTAAGATCTAACTCCTGTAAGCACCACGCTCACAGATCTCTGTGCTTAGATCCCACTCATACTCTTTCTGCCTTTTTCTTTCAACACACAGTAGCATAAATTAGAAGGAACTTCTGTTACAGGAGTCAGTAAGGTACAAAATGCCCTCTAGGCTGACATCTATCTCAGTCAAACCTTGTTTTGAATAAGAGTCAGATCACCTCCATTTACAGCTTTTTATGGTTTTGTTTATATGCTTATTTTCTTTCATTTCTCTAAATGCTTAATTGGGAAACTTCTCCCTTTTTCCTCCTGGGAAATAATCCTCCTAACTGTATTCATATTTAAGATTGAAATACTTTAGCTGAGAACTGAAAAGAAGTTAGGGTTCTGATTCATCACTTCCACATTCCACTGACTTCAAATTGGAGTTAGGCCCCCAGACTACCCATGTATCTGCTGCCTGCATGTAAAATGTGAAATGGACTGTTGATGCCATTCCACTAACATCAGTCAAACTGCACCTGACCATGTATGTGATGATTTTCCCTCAAAGTAAATGCATGCTAGCAATAAATTACTGGTAGTTTTTATAGCCTGCCAAGCAGGGCTTGCATTTCTTCCCTATCAGCTGATAACATCAGTAATGAAACCACTTAGTCAACTCTTAATTTTCTTATCAAAATCAATAGGACTTTTCCTATTAACTTCAGGAGAGAAATGTCTTGCTATGTTAAGACATCCTCTGCTGATTCAGAAAAAAATGCATCTCTAAACTGTGACAAGCAAAAAGTCTGTTGGCTCACCTTAAATTAATATTGCTGTGCACATTACGGGAACCAACCACACAGCATGTATATAAATGATTTTATGATAGTATATCACTGCTTTTAGATCTGATGAGTATAGCTCACAGCTTATTAAACTAATTTACCACGAGACATAGCACACTGCATGTGATTTCATTATTCAGAATGCACTCTTTTGAATAGATGTATGGCATTTCAAGCAAGAATCAGCTTTTTCTTGCTGAGAACATCAAGGTACCACCAGACTAAGGGAGTGGAGAGGACTGTCTCCTAAGTGCCTCTCCCCAGATCTAATACAGAAAACAGACAGATGCCTTAAAAGAGCGCAAACACACCCGCTCTTGCCTCTAAAGTATAAAGCCATCTTTTAAGAGGCAGAGGGAGGAGAATTCATTTTCAGTGCCCCTTCTTAAATTTAAGAATATGTGCTGCCCTTTGTTTTCCCAATTGATCACGTCTCTGGGGAAAGAAAGGGGTCCATCGTGGACCTCATTCCTTCCCCTACCTCCGGCTGCCACCAGCGCGTTTGAAGGTTAAACCTTTCACAAAGTGCAAATATGCAAGAGGTGAGCTGAATCATGACTGTATTCCTTCCACTAGGATGATGATCACAGATGCAAAGACCAGAAGGAGAGGTGACTTGGCACCCGAACCAAGCCAATGGATGGCTGCTTCCCCCACAAAGCAAACAGTGAAATGAGAAAAGACCTCTGTGACCAAGCCAATTTTGCAGCACAGAAGTGCACACTCTCCCTTCTTCCTGCAGCAAGAAAGGAGGCAGGGAAGCAAATGGATCATCGAACTTTTCCATGGCCAGCAAGTACATTGAGCTGTATTCAACGTGACATGTAAAATCTCTGTCTTGACCTAAGCAAATTCTGGTTTTATAACTTAAATATATGTGCATGCACAGGTGTTTAAATCCTCCTTAAAAAGCTGACTCCTTTGCTCTTGTCTTCCAATATATTCAATATATCCAATATATTCTACTAACATATATCCTAAGCATTAATTAATGCCCTTCCATAACAAGCATAACAGCATGTTTGAAAACTAGTAGGAGAAAAATGAGCAGAATAAAAAACTTATTACGCACAGCAGCTTGTGAAGATGATGATGAAGATGGTGTTAAGATACCAATAAGCCCTGAGGTAAGAGAGAGCCTCCTGCTCTCTGCTATGGTGGACTCCTTGAAAAGCTCCATTTTGGATGATTTAGGGGCATTGGAGTAAGTCTTTCTGAGTAACTTGTGATTCTTCAATCCATCCAATTCTTCCATTCTAAGATTACTGGAGTAGGACCTGCTTAAAAGTTTGTGGGGCTTCAAGGTGCTGTTGTGCTCACATCGAGGGTCCCCAGAACACGACCTACTCAACAGCTTATGGGGCTTTAAAGTGATGCACTCCTCCTGCTTGACGGCTGCAGAGCAAGAACGGTTCAACAGTTTGTGCGATTTTATAGCCATTGTCTGTTCAGCCCTAGGGTCACTCGACAATGAGCGCCCAAAGGTTCTGTGAGATTTTGTGGCACACATATCCTCTGCCTTCACTGTGCTAGAGCAAGTCCTTCTCAGTAGCTTATGAGTTTTGGAGATGCCATCCTGTTCTGACTTCAGTTTTGATTTATTTTTACCACAGCCAGGTGGAGGATAACTTGGCGACCTTAGAAATAAAGGAGGAGAAGATGAAGTTAGACAATAATCAAAATCTTGTGCAAATCAAGCAAGACCACACATGTAAAAATTTTTAAGTGCTACCTGTCTTCATGTATTTCACTAGTGATAAACGCAGTCCAACATTAAAAAAAAATGGGCAATTGTATGTAGGACTAATTTTCCAATACCAAATAGACATCTTACTCCTATTTACATAGAAGGTCATCAATCAAAAGACAACTAACTACTTAAGTAGAAGTTACAGCTATAGCCTTACAGCTCTTTGTAAGGTCTTTACATCTCTAAACAAACCATTTATTCAGGAAATTATCTTTGAAATGAAAACCACATACTTCACATGAGATTATAACACATTTTCCTTATCAAAATCTATCTTTCCTGTGTAATCATCATGGCACGATCCCATTAAAGTTACTGCCTTCTGGACACAGCATAACATTCTATGTCCAGATCCAATGGAAGATATAATGAGCAGTGAAACTTGCAGGCAGTAAATCAAATTTAATTCAGCTGAAATGAACATTACTTTTAAAAACCTCATAATAATCTGGGTGCTTTGTGGAAGATAATTTGATGCCCTTCTTTCCTGTTTTAGACAAATTCTAGCTCTGTAACACTAGAAATGAGAATGTGAGGGACCTAAATTATGAATGCAGAAAGTAAAGAATAAAAGGTTTTTATGAAACAACATTCACATGTACAGTCACATTTCTATATGGTTCACATTTGGCTGTCCTGGCAAAGCAAGAACATGTAACAGGTATGCTCAATTATTTTTCTATGCTTTATAAGCAACCCCAATCTTTGGAGTATTTTTTGGGCTTGGACTGGATAGAAAAGAAGTGAAACACCAAGGGGAGAGGCTGGCAGGTTTCCCTATGCTGTTAGCAAGTGGTGACAGGAGAAGATGCACATGGAGGCCGCTGACTCACTGTTGCAGTTGGCTCACTACCACCCTCCTGCAGACACGAGGTAGGAATGGCACTCTAGGGAGACAGGGGGTCCCTGCACTTAGGCTGAGCCATCTTTGGACAGGCACAGCAGCAGCAGACAAATCAACAGGAGAAAGGTTGGGCTGCCTTTTTATGCCCTTTCTGAATAAAACCAAACGCCAAGCTACAGCCTGAGCTAGGCAATGAGGTGTGGCATGGTAACGAATGGGTAAGCTTTCTGCTTAAAACATCACCCTCCTCTTCTACCTTTGAAAAGACAAACAATCTTTTGTCATCTTTGACATTCCTCCCTTCTTCAATGTGAGTGATCGCTGCACTCCCTCTCTTTGTTTATACATGGAACTTAGAATGGAAAAATTAATCAAAAAGAAGGAATGTTCAAAGCAGCATTCAATGCAAATTCACAGAAGGGGTGATCTGTCAACCCTTCACAAGCAGGAAAACATGCTAGAGTAAATAGTCACATTCCTGAAAGAGGTAAAATCAGAGCCTGATTTTACATATGCTTAAGAGTACGAGTAACTGGCAGAAGTCATAATGAATTCAAATGAACTATTCACAAACTACTTCTTATGCTTTTAATGCCTTTGTTCTTTGAAATTCTGTGCCTGCATTTCAGAAGTGGTGAGCATTAATGTGCTCAAACAGTATACTGCAAGGGGTGGGTGCTCAGCAGCTCCAAAAATCAGTCTTTCATTAATGACCATTCTAGTGTTAAAGTTTAAAAATACACGCAGCTGTGGAAAGAATAGCTAGACAACTGCAAAAATATTTTATATATGTAAGAGATGTATATTATGTAAGTTATTTATTACTTGTTAAGAGTCACATGCTACTAAGCTACAAAGACACAAATACAACAAGTTAAATAATACAAAATTAATTATTTCCAATTCTAGATGAAACATGGCTGTTTCAGAGAGCAGGGCACTGAAATGCTCTGCCTTCAAATAGTCTTAGAAGCTGCAGTAGTACCTAGTTCACTTTTGTCATGCAAGGCAAGGACTGGAAACCCATGAGGTAAGATATAAATAGAGCACTTCTCTGTGGAGAAAAGTCAGCATTTCACCTTGTGAAGTCTGGTGTGGATTTTGAACAGCATATGGTGTTAACAGCTCATTTTCCTTGCTATTACCTGCGCAATGTAGAAAAGATGTGCAGAGGGGATTTCACCTTTTTGTCAGACACCTTCTTATTGTGCGTACAATTAGATTTCTCTTTGCTGTTCTTCCACTGTTGTGTAACAAATGTCTGCATGATCCTGCAAATTAAGAAAGAAAAAAAGATTTTCTTATCCTAGCCAAGACATCCTCACTTTAATACTAGGGTCTCTCTGTTCACCACATAGGTGACATGATGCAATGTCCTCACTCTACAAGGCAGAGTTTTTCTGTCGTGTATGTGGACTGATGATTGGGTACCTCAGCTCCTCAAAAATGCTTTTTTCCCCACATAAAACTAATTTACATGGAACTCTTATTGAGAACACAGTCTGCACAAACAACCCCTGCAAGACGTATGCAGGTACGCCTCATGGAAATCTAGAGACAAACTGATTCAAAGGCATCCCATCCAACTATAGGCACCTGCCTCTCCAGTGACTACAGAGGTAGGCTACAGCATCCACAATGCTCAAGTAGGAGCATGTTCTCCTAAGGCACAAACATGAAGGTAGGGATGTTGAATACTACACTACCCAAAGAGGGTTTACAGAGAAGACAGAGCCAGTCACTTCCCAGAGATGGACTGCAAAAGGCTGTGGTCACAAGTTGTAGCAAGGAAAGCTAAAAACATAAAGGCTATAAAAAGAAGACATCCACAAGAGTGGTTAAGTACAACTGGTTGCCCACAAAGACTGGAGATTTCGCAGCTTAGCTGCTTGAGACTCTCAATGAACTAATCTAACTTTGAAGTTAGTGTTACTTGGAGCAGGATGTTGCACTAGGTGACCTCCAGTAGTTCCTTCCAAGCCAAATTATTCTGTGACTCTAATCCAGCAATGGGAGTCTTTGAGTGATAAAATCAGAATGGAAGTTTATTGAAAATTTAGTGACTCTTCAAAGATGAATATCGTATTGCCACAGCCGTGAGGGGCCATAGGCTTCATGGGTATCCTGACTTCTGCTCATCTGTGAATTATGCAGCTATGTCCTTGAAAATGTCTTATGGGAACCTTTAGAAATTACGCGGTACACAAATCAGAGACAGTGTAAGTACTGAAACGTTTTAAGAGACTGTTCATGTCTGGGGAGCTTTTTTTTTTCTTCAAAGTCATGTACCAGAGATTTTAGTAACATTGCTTCATAATTTGTAAGATTATGAAAAAGCTGCACTGAATTTCTTTAAACACAAAACAGCAAAAGATTTTTTTTCTCTTAAGGGATTCTTAATGTTGTAATGGTCAGATATTAAAGCCTATATTCTTGTCATTTTCTTACACACACACACAAGCATATGTGGAAAGATGACTCAGCAAAATTTTATTAAATTGCATTGTACCATGAACACATAAAACTGCTAATTTTTTCAACTATTCTTCCCTCTTGTCCTCAAAACGTGGATCGCCTAATTACTGGGGTACATCCTAGAGGCCACCATGAAAGCATAGCCCCCCTAGGGTATGCATGATGCTCAAAAAGATTCCTGCTCCAGGGGCTTCACCATCTAAGCAGAAACATGAAATTGAACACTCCTATTTACATTCTTTTGAGCAGCTTACTTTCTAAATGACAGCAAAGTGACAGAAAACCCTGGCAGGCAGCACAAATCAGGTTCTCCCCAACAACTGCCAAAACTGAACTTAAAAAGGCAAATCCTGTTATTTTTTATTTAAAGAAAAACAAGTTCAAAATACTTTGATCCATCCAACACCAAAAAGTGTGTAATATTTGCCTAAAAACAGGGGTTTACACTTTTCTAGACTTACTTTTTCAGCTGATGTCCCAGCCCAAATCTTTCTTTAGTAGAAATCTGAAATACATCCACAGTTGGCACTATGGAAAAAGGAGATATTGTTGATATATGAACTTACAGCAATAATCAAGAACACATGACCATGTAAGTCATATTTAAGTACCTTGTTCTATCTGGACCTCTACTATAGACAATGCCATTGAAGCAATGGTGAAAGTGGACATGTCATCTATTAAGAAATCAATGGTCCTTTTTTGAATTTAGCCAATATAATTTGTAATTTTACAAAGGAGTATTTTAGAAATTGAATTCCCCCAAATGTATCTCTTCCCACTAATTTTACTTACAAAAATCTGTCTTTGGTTTTTATTTTATGCAAGTACCAGAGAGCAGCATCAGATGAAATATATCTGGACTGGTAATTCATCTTGCCTAATCTCTTAAACTTTTTTCCAAATAAGTAGTCTTTACACACTACGGTTCCTGTGACTATGAAGAAAACCCAGAGTGGGATAAACTGAATTAATTAGTATCTGGGTTTTCTTCCTGAGGGTGTTTTAACACAAGATCCATAATAGTCATCTAAGTGCCTGATGTATGAATTCCAGTGGCCAAGGATTACCCTGAATTTTCCTCAAGACCCACCCGAACATTGGTATACCCATATTCATCTGTCAGAAATTGACAGTGTACAGGGTGAAGGCTGGAAATTAGCTCCTGGTATTACTAAAATCCTTTAATAACATTTACTAGATAGAAGTGGCAGATGGAATCCAGCACTTGTAGAGAAAGCCTCAGGTCCTCAAGGCAGGACAACAGCCAACACATATTACAAGCACAAACAGACTTTACCCTTTGTATTACCTAAGGTGGTAATGACTACAGTAAAATAAAAAAGGAATGAAAACAAAAAATCTGGGGTTGGTTCAAATTTAATTAGAAAAAGTAAATCAGTATTTTAAAATCTGTATTATTCTGATCACTCAGAAAGCCAGACTTTATTCAGAATGTCAACGTTTATCCTTTAATTTTAATAAATTTTAAAATAAAATACAATATATCTGAACTGCACATCCAATTTCACTTAGTTCAAAGCCCTGTAGATATCCATTCTCTAATGTTATTGTTCAAATATAATCTCATCTTTTAAAGACAAACAAACACAATTTTTTCGAAAGGGATGAATGATTTGATTGGGGGGTAGCAATGTTTTTAGATTGTCAAATTTAGCACACATGGTAGGGGTGGAATATTTTCAGTGAGAATCACCATACCTAGAGCAACAATCTTATAATCTGACATGTAGACTACAATCGTTGCCTAAGCTCTACAGCCAGAGAAGACAGCCCACTGCCTCCAAAGGCTGATTCATCCTCATCTAAGACAGGTTCCTAAGACACGTGGGAGAAACTGCCCACAAGTACAATAATGAGACAAGTTATTAATTAGAAGAAGGACTATCTAAAATCAGGATATTATACAGCTACAAGGTGGTACAAACACCCCCCATAGGGCTTTGGAGTATACTGCATTTCTGTTTCTTTTACCAATCAACAGAAATACTACAGGACAAAAAACATGTAGCATAAAGTTATCGCCCAGTAGTCTCAAAACATCATATTTAAGGGGGAAGAGGAATTCACAGAAAAAGGGTCTTGTTAACACAAAAGATGGTGGATGTTATTGTCCTTTTCTGATAAATAAAGAGACATGGCTGCAACAGCAGCTGAGCTTATAAAACCAGTACCAGCAAAGCCCTTGCCTCTGGCCCTGATCGTGCCTTTCTCGGTACTCAGGCACTCCCACAATCAGTCAGCTGCAGGACTGGGAACTAAGCCTCCCCTTTTAACCTTGTCAACAGTGCAGAAGATACCTTGTTGTTACTTCTCATTTCACTAGATCATTTCTTACTGTATGCTGCTCTTCACGCTTCACCTTCTGTTATTTGCTGCACTTTTTTATTTTTTAAATTACATTTTGATTGCAATATTCTGAATACTAACACTGCTTCCAGCTACGGCAAATACATATTTTAAGATCTGCATATTTACAAAAAAGATCAAAGCAATAAAATACAGATAAAAAGACCAAAGTCAAGCAAAAAACCCAAAGATTGATGTAATGAAATGCTTATTTGAATGAACAGAATATAGCTTACAGTTAGCATTGGCAGGCAACATATCCTATAAAAATAGCTCATTGGGACAGATTTTGCTAATCATATTATGACTGGAAATATCTATTCATTTTCCAGAAGCAGAATTCTCCCACAGATACAAGCCTGAACTGACAGCTTGTACTGGAAGCCTCCAAAGCTGGGGAAGTTATGATCCAAATTGCAACTTAGTTCTGACTTACCACTGTAAAAATATATCTGAAGTTGACTCTTGCATATGAATGTTTCCAAATCTTCAAAATCAGTTGATTCTTCAGGAGTTTGACCATTTTTACTCTCATGTATAAGTTCTACTCACTTAACAACTCATTCAAATCTAAAGATTCCCAGAGTTCACACAGTCATATAGAAATCAGAAGCTGAAAGGATAATTATCACAGCCTGATTCTTCAAAGGTGTGTGAAAAAAGGGCATATTAATATGCTGCACAGATCTATGTATGTATACCTTAACAGTGATATCTCATCTGTGAAGATGGTCCCTGATTTCCAAAATCAGGAAATCATGTATTAGAAACTGTAGATCTTTATTCCTTAACCCTGGTTCCTAAGGGAAGCAATTGCATTTCAAAGTTCCAAAAATCAACCTATGAAAGTTTAAACTAGATACTCATGTCATTATTTAGAGCCTAGCCATGCAAATATACGTAAGCATAATTTCAAACCAATAGGACTGCACTCAGCAGTAGATCTAAGCACATGCAGGGTCAAAGATTTGGCAGTGAATCAGTAGCTATCACCTACCGCATGGCTCAGAACGAGACACCATACAAGGTACGTGAAGAATACACAGGTGACTAACCTGGACCATTTAAGTACTGTGTAAGTGAACAGTGCAATCGCACTATTATAGGCTCTGTGCGAATTACATCCCACGCCACAGCAATCTCTTCCTAGTTCAAGATAAAAAGAAAACAACAGACACCATTAGCCATCATGAGGAATGCCTGCATTTTGTCAGTCTGCCTTAGCGTTGTTATAAGCACCATCCACCCATTTACCCAGTTGTTGAATATCTACTCCAACTTCAAACTTGAGACTAGGATAAACTGTTGCCTGCTGATGCGCCTAAGAGCAGTGTTAGACTGCTTCCAGTTTAAATAAGTATGCTCATTTAAACTGAGCACAGGTTTATGCACAACACCACATCTACAGTGCAGGCAGACACATTCACATCTATCAAGAGATACTGCCTCAAAGCTGAGAAACAAAGGAGCAAATAAAGATGGAAAGGAAACTCACCCCATAACACAGGGCAAAGGAAAATTTTGTTCCTTAAGACTGATTAAAATAATTCAACGTATGATCAGACTTTCTTAAGTTTTAGAAAAGCCCAAGAACAACTATCTTAATGTGCTGTGCTAACCTGAGAATATGACATATCTGTGCAGAATCTAATGATGCCCCTAAAAGCATTAATTTTTATTCTCTATCTAGAGGACAAGAAGTTACTGCACAGATGAGGTGAGGAAGTGTGGAGTTAATGACAGCATAACTGTTACAGAACCCATGCTGCCAGTCGACAGCACCACTGTCCTGTGTCTCCTTTGCCACTCAAGCCTCTCCCTAATCAGCTGCAGATGTTGAGAAGCACACAGGAGAACTCCAGCCAAGCTCTTCTTCCCTCCAGGACTCTATAAAGTGCTTTCAGTTAACTAATGTCTAGGATAGCAAAAAAATAAATGTATTTCATTTGTATCAGTTAAAGCATTTACCATTCACAAAGCATGTTTGAAAGGAAATACACATGCAGTAAATAAAAGCCTACAAAGCATTTTAACAATGCGATCATAAAAAGAAAAGGAAACTTTTCCACTGAGTAGCAATCAATAATGTGACAGTCACTTGTGAAGATCAAGTCTCTGAAAAAGGAAAGTCTCGGTGGTTGTCTAGAGTCTAACGTGTAGCAGAATTAAATGGGTATTAATGTTCATTATGTAATTCTGTGATTAGATTACTTACATCAAGAAAGCTAACATCAATATGCAGATCGATATCTACATCATCAATGGCTCCATATTCCCTGAAAGGAAAGAATTACATTACATTAGAGCTCTTTAAGATACTCCTCAGCCCAGGAGTGCTTATAACAGGGAAGATTTTATAAAGGATAATCGTGTCTGTAAAATCAGAATGGTTATAAGATACACATTTACATAGATTGGATCAATATTCCCAGTGGGTGACCGTCTGCTGCACTGAATTTTTCTTTCAGTGGATCTTAAACAGGCTAAATCTTTTTTCCTATTAAGTCCCTCAAATTCTCTCTCCATTGCTGCTATGTATTTTTGTCTCACGTATTGCAGAAATAAATCAAGAAAACAATAATGGTCACATGCTGCTCCTATTTATGACAAAAGAAAATCCTAGTTAATTTTCAAAAGTATTTCAGGTTAACAGCCAGTAACCTAAGGAGAGGCTTGAGATAAATCGTTGAAGACAAATACAACATAGCCTAGAGGGTGGCACATTATACCTGTGGGATTGCTTCATACATTCAAACATTTGTTCGTCAAAACATAAAGATTGCCCTGTAATGTGCTCAAGGCAATAGTTACCTTATTTTATCTGTTATGTGTACTATTGCTGGAATCCCCAAGGTTCAGATTTAACTTATCCTCACAGGTCTTTCCTTGCCATCTGAAATCTTAAAGTGTGACTTTTCTGCCTCTTATTTTCTGACTCAGTCTGACTGCCCTCCCCCAACTTACTTAAAGACTTCTGAAAAATAGGACTATCAAATACTCATTCATACACCTAAAAAAAAATTGCTTTCCTTTTCATTTAAATTACTTAAGTGGACAATACTGTAAAAGTGCAGTCACTTTCAATTTGTCACAGATTAGCTTCTAGTCACTAGGTCTTTTCTTTACACTGCATTTATATGCTTGTTCTCACAGTGACTTCCATACTTTTCTATTAAACTAGACTAAGACAGTGCACAGTAGCAGTCATGCATAAATAAGTTGATATGGTAATTTTGAAATACAAAAACATTTTTGTGAATACAAATATTTCCTACCAAAGTGGCCTCAGCCCATGGTAGGACCTAGCTCTCACTGGAAATGCCTTGACCTCTTGTAAAGCTTGGCAGAGGGAACCCCTTCCACCAAACCTCAGCATCCCAATGGTTCTCTCTGGTAAGGGCAAACCCAAAGCCTCTCTCTAGATCAGACGCGTCCACACATGGCACACACAGGGCAGGTAAATGGTTGGCCAGGGCTGTGTTACCTGGAGGCTTCCCAGCCACCCTGACAGCTGCTCCAGAGCCCTCTCACCCAGAGCTACAGGTACAGGTGTTCGCTGGCCTCCTACAGCTCACTGAAGACTTGACTTTGAAACAGTGAAATTCTACACTTACTGAATGGCTTAGCCACCATCCTACACAAGTGGCCTCAGATTATTTTTTTTTACTATTATTATTTTCCAGAAGATCCAAAGATTGTTAAGAACTCTTAAGTAATTTTTATGAATGCAGGCTCGTGTTACTCATATGACTGAGATTCAAAAGGCTGTGAACAAGCATAATTTTATAAACTAAACAGAAACATAGTTGAACTAATGAAACACAGAATTATTAGTGGAAAAAAGGGTAAGATAAAAATAAGTTATAACTGTGGAATTTCCATACTCACTGAAATCCCTTTGCACCCACTCCATTACTATCCTAGAAAATGGATTTTAGACACATGATGCTGACTCTAGTTTTACTTCCCCAAGCTGAAAGGGGGGAAGAAAATAAAGTTTTCTTCCAGCACCTGCAGCTTACGATCTGCTGCCTAAAATGGCTCCATGAACACATCTTGATTTTGAAGCTCCCAGAGGTCCTCTGTCCATCAATGCATAAGCCATGTAAATAGACACTGAAGAGTTTGGATCAGTTGGTCCAGAGGTCTTTCTCATGGCTTTAGTGGCCAGATTGCCAAGAGCAGAGATGAAAAGCATGCAGGTATAAGAATTTCTTTTTTACATGTACAGTTGACTCTGTGACAGCAAGAGATTACTAAAAGAGGGTCAACTGTCTAGGAAATATGCATCTTAGTGGGTGTCACTGTCAGACAGTGAAACTGAATGCTTAATGCTGTGTTTGTCATTTCCAAGAATTTATGAGTACTTTCAACTGCAACAGAGTGGAAGAAGCATTAAAGTTTTCCACATGCCAAAAGCAGCCACAGATGCCAATTTCTACTACAGTAAGCTCAAGGAGATCACAATGCTTCCAATGAAACAGTTGATTCAATAAATTAGATCCAATAAAGTTTTTGAAAGGTTACATATAACGTTTCAATTTTAGGACCTTGAGGGAGCCTATTATCAAGGTATTCTCCATTTCATAGTTATCAGTTTGGCATTAATTTCCTAAACCCATACACAACTATTTGGATTTCAATTCCCCAGGTCCTCAAAATGTAATGAAATTTCCACTTAATTTGAAAAGGTATCTACACCATAGTTGTAGACATGCTCTCTCTTTTCAGACAAAAATAACAGAACTTATTGTTTAGAGGTTAATGGGAACTGTTACTTGCAATATGTGTATGCCTAAGGTTATTATCTTCTCTGTATTTTATTACTTGGTTTGTATGACAGTTTTGATATTTTCTTTGTAATGCATCTGACAGGTCTGTTACATCTTGCCTACCTGTTATTTTTATGAAATTATTAAGATTACATAAATGGAAAATCAAGTTATAAAAGACCTGACACGTATTAAAAATATCATAGAGCTATGCCCTATGGCAGAATCATGCATGCCCCTATATGCCCAACAGAATTTTTGCATAATTAGGCTTTGCAATCCTCCTCTGACTGAGGTTCCACCATTTCCCTGTGTAGGATACTTTAGATTCCCATAATTAAAAAGCTTTCCTAAAATCTAATCAAATTCTTGTTTCTTGCTAACACAGCTAGTTTCTTATTGTCTCTCTCACGACGACAATAGAGAACATTTGATCACTCCTCCTATATACAAACAGCTTTTTTGAAGAACTGTTATTATGTCTTCTCCTTCTCTTTTTTCCAGACTAGACAAATCTGACTCCTTCAACCTTTCCCTAGGGAGAACATTTACTAAATCTCTTATCATTCCTGTTGTTCACCTCCAGGGCAAAAGACAGAGTATGACAGAAAAGGAGTTTAACAAGGATTTAGAGTAATGTTGAATAGTAATATTCAGCAAAATACAACAGCCTGATCAAACACAGATTGAATTGCAAAAGACAATGATGTTTCAGAACAGGCTTCCAGGGCTGCTTCTCAGCACAGCCAGTTGTATCAGTACGCAACCACAAAAAAAGAAGAAACAGACCTAGCGTTATTGCTAGCCAGCAGTGCTCCTTCCTTTTGCCACACAGTATGCAGAAATCATCACAGGAGGCTTGTGCTTTGGCAGTGAGGAAAGGTCCACACGGAACTCAATCTCCAAAATGTTAAAGGTTTCACAATACAGAAAAGTCAATGACGTACCTGAGAGATACTGCATTAGGTCCATAGATCTCTCTCACTGCTGTCAAATCAGCCTCCAGCTGTGGGTGCTTGTGAAGTTCTCCATCATAGCTAACCTACCGGGAAAAAAAAAATATCCTAGGAGTTCTTATTTATTTAATTACTGGCACCCGACCTAGACTTTCTAAAGTTCCCCCTGAAAAATATGCTGCATAAAGATTCCTTAATGCCATGCTCAGAAAGGACACTGCGTTGATAAGCTGAAGCCCTGAGGTGGTCTATCTCTGCTAAGCAATAAGATTGGCAAAGCAGACACCTTTGTATCGAAATTTTTTGAGGGTCCCACTCCTGTTTGTGGGAAAACAAGCTGCAAAGGACTCATCCCTCTGTCCTGTCTTGTCCTGGAGTTTGTTGTGGGACACTTGTGCATTTTAAAACTGTTAAGTAGAAGAACCAGATCTCCCCAGACATACCATCCCAGTCCAACCACTACAGGACGAAGGTTTGCTCCCCCTTCTTGTTCTCACACTTTCATATATATTAGACACAGAATGGCTTGGAGTCAACAAGAGAAGCATGAAAGTATTCTATATGCCAAGTGTCTCAGCATCTAAATTACATTTTCAGTATACCCACTGGCTGTATTCTATCCACCAGTGCAATGATATCAGATGAAAAAAAAAAAAAAAGAACACTTTTCCATTTTAAGTATTTTACCAGAGAAGGTGTGAAGAAACACGTATTTAGACATAATACTCATTTTTTTCCAAACTCTACATAAAAAATGGAAACAGTTATGTTAGTGCATACACTGTAAAGCAAAACTTGTGAGCTGGTTTGGCTGGACTGTATGAAGTCAAAATAATTAATATCCTCCTATCTTCTTGTCCTGGTTTCAGCTGGGATAGAGTTCGTTTCCTTCCTAGCAGCGGGCATAGTGCTGTGTTTTGGATTTAGGATGAGAACAATGTTGATAACACGCTGATGGTTTAGTTGTTGCTAAGTAGTGCTTATGCTAAATCAGGGCCCTTTCAGCTTCTCATGCTCTACCAACTGAGAAGGCTGGAGATGCACAAGAAGCTGGGAGGGGGCACAGCCAGGACAGCTGACCCAAACTGGCCAAAGGGATATTCCATACCATATGACATCATGCTCAGTATATAAACCGGGGGAAAGCTGGCTGGGGGCTGCTGCTTGGGCACTGGCTGGGCATCGGTCAGCGGATGGTGAACAATTGTATCATGCATCACTTGCTTTGTATATTCGGGGTTATTAATTTTTTTTATTATTATTATTACATTTCAATTATTATACTGTTCTTAACTCATGAGTTTTCTCACTTTCACCCTTCTGATTCTCTCCCCCATCCCACTGGTGGGGAGAGCAAGTGAGTGGCTGTGAGGTGCTCAATTGCTGGCTAGGGTTAAACCACAACACTTCTCCAAGGACCAAAATACCTCTTTGGGCTTGTAACAATCTATTCACAGTCTCTTACTACTTTCTTGTTAAGCAATATGCTCCAGATTGTGTGAACCTAATTCTACTTCTTTACAACAATTAGAATGACAGTAATTCCACAACAGGTGATGAACTCCCTAGATTTGGACAGATTCAGAAATGACAGCAGGATTTGGCTTGTGCCTTTGACAAATTCAGAGAGCAAAGCACAAGAATGTAATTTATCCCTTTAAACATATACACATAATCCTTATACAGGAATTCCTGCAGAGAATTCTTGCTATTGCAGAACCATATCTAACTGCAGTACTGTTTCTTCCGTTTGTACATCCAAATCTGTAGGAGACCAGTGCTGTGACACTTTCAGCTCTGATACCTGGAGATGTACTTTTCAATCTAATTAAATAAATTTCAATAGAATTAAAATACTAATCAGCTGATCACTTTTTACGTGTGAAAACTGGCAAAGAATAATTTGATTTGACTCAGAATTCTTCAAATATAAGGTACAGAACTCATCAGCATAGCATGGGCATGTTTTTATCAGAGATATCAGCAATATTCATGACCAGAAGGGTATAAGCCAAAGTATCCCTCACTTGTTTGGGCAGGCATGTCAGAACAACTTTCCAAGTAGAAGAGCATGGGAAGAAAACCTTTATTATATTTTTTTTTCACTTTAGGTAGGAGAAAACCAATCCTTTTTACATGCTCATTACTCAAAGATCAGTTCTTTAAAGATGCATAAATAATTGCTGTCCTGCTCCCAAAGAAAGCACAGCAATCATTTCACAAATCGTAGCTGTGGTGCACCTGCCACCTTTGTTGGTCCTAAACCGCATTTTTTTAATCAGTCTTATGTATCAATACTAAAACCCAAAAGGAACACTATGCAGAACACTGAACTGCTCACTATAATGTTTTCTCCAACCTATTTTCTGATGGTAAGAGGCTATGAACTCAAAAAGGAAACAAAGCAGTGTTCTGGCACATTATAAGACGACAGTATGGTATTTTCCACCCCTGAATTAGTGCCACACACATGCTGATATACGCAGAGGAGACTGCCAGAGTTTTGTGTATCTGCATTTGCAAGTATGTCCTGTAACTGAAGTGCATGAGAGAGGGAGAGCGAGCGCCAAAGGCAGTAGTATTACTGTTTCAATCTCCTGATCTCATTTGCAAATGTAGAAGAAAGAGATTCAAAGCAAGACATAACAAAGAGTCTTAGAGAAAGTGAATAAAAAACCTAAAAAATCTGATAACTTTGCTGTGTCTGAAGGGTCTGTGTTTAGAAAGTCTCAAGTTTTTAATCTGAGACCTGATTCAGATTATTTTGTCCCACATAATGACAAAAGGTTGCATTTTTAAAGGAGATTAAGTGATTTACAAACCTAAATCCCATTGAAAATCAATAGGACTTAGGCTATTAAATCACTTAGCTACTTTCAAGTCTTTATCCATTAAATCCTTAGGGAGGATTACAAGCAGGTGCCTAGGAAGCAGATACAAACATTTAATTTATGACCAAAAGGTCGTATCTTGTTTTCACTGCCCATCAAATGCCACTTCCCATTTTCCATGGTCCTTGCTTCATCATCAGCTGCTCTCTTGTCTTTCCAGCTGTAACCACTTAGAAATGTTAAGAATTACCCCGACCTCCACCTTTCACACAATTACACTGGTGTCTGTTCCCTCTAGTTGCTAAAGTCAATATTTTTGTCCCCTTTCTCTGTGGGCACAGCATACACTTGTCTCAAATGAAGCAGCTTGCCTTGCTTGTTTCCCACATATACCGTCAACTATTTTGTCTTCCAAATATACTTGGTGGTCACTTAATAACTCTTACAATCACTTTATTTGAAAAAGGACTGTTCTTTTTATCTCTCAAGACACATTGCTCATTATCGATTTCCTATTCATTTTCTGTGTCCTCAATATTTTCTTTAATTCTACAGGTCTTCCTTAGAATTTTGTCTTTTTGACCGTAAAATTTTAAATTCAAAATTTCCTTTTTTCTCTCTTGTTAAATATACTTGCTATGATGTCTTTTTTTGTTTGCTTGTTCTCCTTATTTTGCTTTTTAAACATTCTGTACTCAAGACATTCACAATCATCTGATATTTTATTTTTATTGCTGATCTAATTGTATTTTTTTGCCAGTTATAATTCCTTCAGTTAAATGTATTACCTTAAAAAAATGACACTGCAATATAATGTAGTTTCCACTTCAAATAGAAGGCAACTAAATTCTGACCAGTATTGCCTATCTTTTACACCTTGCAAAATGATGTACTGCTCTTTGTGTTCATATCTCATAGGCAGCGTTAATATTTATTCATTCATTTGGGCACTGGCAGGCATCCTTTACAAAAGTATTAGCGCTTGTTCAAGAAATGAGTACTCCCAGCTGTTTGCTGCCTTTTCCTTCACTGTGAGGTTATTGCCCTTTCTGCAGAGCTGAAAAATGGAGCCAGTACACACAACTCATCACAACAGGGCAAAATCAGGAGATTTTTCCTCTCAGGCAGATTAAAATAAGACATCGGTTTTTGCCCTGAAGTATGTGTACATAGTCATCGCCAGCGATCCATGGGGCTGTAGCAGTGGGCAGCTGAAGGGAGGCAATTCCTGCAGTCATTTCTAAAGTCAACATGAGCCAATACCCCATGTCAGTCATTTCTGACACTGAAAATACATTCTTTCAGTCCCAGTTTCAATATCACTTGTAATAGCTTCTCAGGGGGGTGGTTTTTTTTTTTTTTTTTTTTAGAGTAAAGCACCGCAACATGTATGTTGTGTTCAAAGCCCACCCCACTGTTGGCTCTACAAGGGAAGAGGCTCAGCGCTGACCGTCTCACCAGCACCCCACGCGCTCTGCACCGACCCAGCCGGCTGGCACGGCTGGCACGCTCCTGCAGCCTCGGCTCTGTGCACCCAGGGCACGGACGCCTTCAGCCTCAAGGCTCAGGCAGCGACAACTTTCATAAACAGCAACAGTAATTCGTTAAAATGTTCCTCAAAATAAGCAGTTCCAATAACATAAGTGAGCAATGATTCCTTTGGGGCAATAGTTAGACTAAAAAGATAAGAAAAATCTGAATAAAGAGACTAGCAGCATGATGCACTCTATTGACATTGCAAAAGGAAAACAGATGAAGAGATTTTATTTCCCAATACCTAAAAGAATGTAATAATAACTAATTCTGCTGAGGGAACAAGAAGGAAAGACACAGAGCAGTACATTCATCTAAAAATATGCAGCATTTTTCAAGGTGAATGTAACTGTAGAGCTCAGAAAAAGAATGGACTATTGCCTCGATCAAAATTGTTTTGTAATAACCATTTTTACCATTAAATTGCAGTGCTCTTGCCTTTACAAAATGGCAATCCTCCAGAAGGAAAGATTTGGATCCAGCTTGACTTCCCATTTGTATCAATAATGGGATAAGCTTTAAAGAGTGAGTATCTATTTCCTGGAAGTAAGCAACCGGCTTCTATTTTCAAACATTCTGGAGAGTACTTGCTTTTTCTATTCTTACAGCTTTGCAAATATAAACAAACTATCTTATTTTAAATTTGACATAATTACACAGTATAACGTATTCAATATTTCTGCTACAAAATACTATGTATATATATACACACATGGCATTCTACTTGATGTTGCATAAACATAAGAAATTAATTATTATCATAAACTTATAATGAAATGAACAACAGAAGCTTTCAAATATTAGTTTCTTGAAACTTGTGCAAAAATTTCCTCCATTACCTGTCCTCCATAATAAAACTCCTCAGAATCATTATCTCCTTCAGAGTCTTCTTCAACTGTGCTGTTGTGCCATGACTCCTTAATGGAAAAGGAAAGTTAACAATGATACAAGTGATATGCTTCTCTTGCATTTATAGTTCTAATTATAACTACAGGAATTATGTTTTTACAAAAAAGCTCACAGCACCCTTTATTAAGAGAACTTTTAGCATCATTTTTCCAGAAGAGTACTAATGGCCTGTTTTAAGAATAGTGAAATACAAGATAAAACAAGCACCTACTAACTGGGTACATAAAACCACCCTGAATATATGTTCAAGAAATAATACTTTGTCTGCCTACAGACACAGTATGGTATTTTAAGGAACCAGGGAATTCAGTACACTATGTGAGGATACTTCTCTCTGTGTTTTTGCTAAACAAAGCATAATTTACCCACCAAGACAGGCTCTGGACTTAATTCATTTGGTGTTTCAGTGACCTAATACAATTTTAATTTACTTTATTCTGGTAAACCAATTCTAATAGTTCAAGGAAATAATTCAAGTCCAAGCATGGGATATCTTAAGCTCCTTTCTGTGAAAAACTGACACATTGCTGCTTAATTATTATTTTTACCAGAAGTACCAGCCTGTTGCCAGAAAAGTTCAAACTTAATTTTCTGACTAGCTCTGTTCTGAGACTTTGAAAATTAAGGATTAGAAAGTAATATGCTTACCCAAGTAAACCTGCTCTAAATAGGCTGCTCTGTGAATAATTGCACTCAAGTAAATAGAACTGATCCTGGTACAGACTGCAGCTCAGCATGAGCTGAAGTGTTATATTCTGCTTCCCACCAATAGAACCTTTATTTATAATTATGTAATTGCTTAAAGATAATAATTCTTGTTTCCCACAATCCATGTGTTATTTCCAGGCCCTATGCTGACAAGGATCCCCTAAAAAACACCTGTTAAAATCATAATTCTTCACTTCAGCCTGAACATGATGTACCTACTGCTTATTTTGTATTTATGTCCTGCACAGAACTGCCATAATGGAAGAGAAATCAGATGTATGAATCAAAGAATAGAAGTTACCCCTAAATCTCATATATTCATAAATGTAAAATATACCCTTATCACCAGTTTCTATGGTGAGACACTCTAATCCCATTTCCCTACCTTTGCCTCTAAAATCCTGCTCTATTCACTGTATATATACATCGAACAAAAACTGTATTTCAGCCAATTTCATAGCAATTTTCTATGACAAGGCATAAAAATAGTTTCTGCTTCTACTTCACTGAAAAGAAACAACGTGACTTTAATATTCTTCATTTTATAATAACCTTAGCTCAAGGGGAAGTCTGTGTTAAAACAGAACGCAACAAAAATTCAACAAAAACCAAAGTCAAATGAAACTCTCATGTTAGAATAGTGACAAACCCATCCTATCCTAACCAAACCTCTGTCTAGCCAATAGAAATGGTCAGTGTTAGAACCTTTTTTTTAAAGAGGGGTTTTTTTTCAGTACTTTCATATTTAACCTCGTTCAAATAGAAACAAAACAAAAGCTCAAACTCTGTCCCACAGAAGTTATGTCTCAAGCTTTTAGTCAAATGGGTAAATTCTTCCTGCACCCAAATTTTTCTGTTTACCAAGCACTGAATACAATGATGAGGCAATAGAAGCGAAGTATTTCCAGTGCAGCTTTTTACATCAAATCAGGTTTCATCTACTAAAAAACCCAACCATACTCATTAGCATATCTGGGCATGCTTATGTCCCCTTTCCAGGATCAAAACCAGATCAGAGCCTAAAAAGCAGTCATCACAAAACTCAGCAACCAGCCTTACCAAAGGAAGTCTTTAAGTCAAGCACCTGAATTCTTGATACAGTGCTCAATTCCTTGCTTGGGGAAGGAGCCTATGTGGTACTTTGAGCCCATAACACTGTCAAGCCCTGTAGACTTGATGTTAGTGCCACTTGTTTCTTGAGTTAATGTCTCAGTGAGGTCAGGGACCCATGCTAGAAGTGCAGCACAAATACAACCGTGACTGGAAGGCTTTAATACTCCAGACACTACTTATGGTGAATAGAGTCATGCAGAGGTCTAGAGCCTCCAGTGGAGCTGCTGCAGGCCACAGAAAGAATCAGTGAGCTAGTAAATGGGATGTGGTCCTATATGCAAGAGCAGGTTAAAAGGAGAGCTGTATTTTTAGGGCAGACAGGATCTATACCACTGTTAAACAAAAAATGAAATAAATGTCAAAATCGTATTTCCTAGGATGGAAGCATCCCTATCCCAACTAAGTGATTCACTGGTTAATCCACATATGAAACCCAGAGAACTACGCTCATCTTCTAAAACATGTAAATGTGTACAGTTTGCGTAAGCACACATTTGATACGAAATCTATGGTAAACATTTCATATTTTATTATTTTCTGTTGTTTCTTAAAATAACTTCTATTAAAATATGCATACAAGAAATACATACCTCTCCATTCTCCCTCTGTAATTTTGATTTTATGGATAAGCAATAGTTGACATCACTGGTTTTTCTTAATTCTTAAAAGAAAAGGGAAAATAGGGAACATCTGTGAAAAATGTGAAATAATTTTGCATATGCTGACTTGAAATACTTAGTTGCAGTAGCAGAGCAAATAAGGAACAAAAAGTTACAGATATGACAAGCATCAAAGAGTTTACAATACAACAGTCCAAAATTAAGAAGCCCCTATGTCTCAGAAGGCTCATATTTTTAACTGTGAAATGAAACTCAGCTGGTCCATCTAGATTTGTGTTTCCCAAACTGTGATTTACAATTCAGTGTCATTCATCATTTTGTATATTTTATAGAAGAATGAAAAATCAAAACCCCTCAAGAAAATTAAATCAGATCATCTTCTATACAAAACATAGTTTTTTAATCTATTTTAAATGACAGGCATTATTTCTTTTTAAATTACAGAAATATTTGCAAGTAAAATTTAAACTTAAACTTCTGACTATAATGGCCAGTTTTTGTTTGGGTGCCACTGCACCGACTTGAGTAAAATTATTCTTGATTTACATCAGTATAAATGAGATCAGAGACTGAAGATCATATTGGTTTTCCAGTGGAATTCAAAGCAATTCTATGTTACGCAAAAAAAGCCCTAAAGCATTGTAATAATAATAAAAAGACTGCAAAGTCAAGTGTTCCTATCTGAAGAACTGCCAGAATTAAGACTGCTCTATGCAGTTTCTCCTGCAGCCTGAAATCATCAGGGAATTTGGCTGCTAAAATCTAAAATGTCTCTATGGAGTATGCACAAACCTTGATTATATATTGTATAAATGTGCCTATATGTCTGAAAAGCATACCATTTCATGTATCAAATACTTTTGGAAGTATGGAAATAATTTCAAATGAGAGATTCTCAAAATCAGTGGGAAAAGTATTTTTTTTTCTATAGTCTAATTTAGTGAAACAGCTGAATCATTTTGTTTGAAATTTCCTGAAATAATTCACCAGAGGCAATGATAGTTATAGACTGTTTCATCCTCAATGGTGAAGATTTAGTGAAGTTTTAAGCAAGTGAGCATGAAAACTTATAATTGGGAAGTATTAAGCACCTCTAACTGTATTCAAGGAGAATTGCTTTAGCACAGACTGCAAGACATTAAAAGAATAGAATACATTCTGCCTACACAATCATGGTGATCCCCAAAAGAAATATTTTAATTTCTTGTGTTCTGAAATGTAGGATAGTTTACTACAGCAAGACTGTGAGAAAATAGCAAACTGTATAGCTGTGCACATTAATATATCCCCCCCTTAAGTGCAGGCCCCATCTTGTCTTTCCTTACAAAATATGAACTTGATAAAACACTTGGGACATAAGATTACCTGTAGCAATTTGGTGGAAAATTACTGGAATTGGCTCTGTTGTAACTAACACATCTTCATCGTTATCAGAACTGGAAACATAAGTGTTATCTACAAAAGAAAAACACCTCGCATGGTGAAGTCCAGCTGTGCTCTGCCGGCCCCTTCCCACGTTGCCTGTCCCACCCTTGTACCATAAGGAACCACTCCCCAGATGGCTAGCGAAGCTGAGCACTATCATCCTCCTGGTGTGGTTTTTTTCTCTTGAGATTGCTAACAAAAAGAAAAATACCAAAAGGATGGAAGATTTGGACCCAAATTTTATACAAGCAAACCCCTACAGCCTGACGTCATGGCTTTTGTAAATCACACCACGCAGTGCTCTGAACCGTCCCACAAAGCTTATGGGGGTTTGAGCCAACCTTCTCCAAAATGAAGACTTGTTCTACACTTTTTGCTATGCCTGACACTAAAACTCAAGCTAGATCTGCTGTGCAGAGTGAAGGCTGCATTCAGAGCTGGGCGTTAACAGCCCATTATGCAAAATACCTGTGCCTCATCTTGCCTAGTCACATAAAGGTTGTTTGAAGTATCTTCTAATCAGTGGATAACCTTTCTTGTGCCTGATTAAGAAAAACAAAAAATTTCCTCCCACTTAACAAAAATGTTAGGTATGGATATGAATATGGAAAGTGTATCCCAAGTTTTCTTACAAAATGTAGGGATTAGGCTGAGGGGGGTGTGTTGGTTTTTTTGGTTTGGTTTCTTTTTTTGCTTTCCAATCAACGGTTTAGTAACAACAAACAAGGAGCAGCAAGTTTTTATGTAGTATCTGCAGAAGCTAATTTTGCATGAATTGCCGAACTGCCTACGAAAGTAATAATACTTGGTTTTCTACTGATCTGGGCTGAATTGAAACTTATGCTCTAGAGCAGAAAGGCTGACAATTAAGATAATCACAGATAAAGAGACAAATAAGAGAATTGAAACAAGGACTTGATCTATTGTAATTCCGAACACTCCAGTCCCACATCAGCAAAGTGCATAAACTCACATGTAATTTTAAGCATACTGCTGCCATCTCAGAACCTTTGACCACAGCGCTTCCAGGGAGATGTTAAAGACGTTAACATTAATTGATCAGTAAATTCAGTAATATTATTGTTCGTATTACAGAGGTTCTTAGCAGCCTGTTACCAAGACGAAGCCCCGGCGCTGCTGCCCCGTTCTCACACAGATGTGCCACGCTGCCGTTGCAAACTGGCAGCTGCGCTGCCGCACACAGACAGGCGCGTGGGGCTTTCCCAGACCCGCTGCCTGTGAAGCAGCCTTTATGCCACATTCACACGCATCTACCAAGTCTGACACTATCCCACACCTTCGCCTACTTCCACTCCTGCGCTGTCCCATGAGGTAATTAGAGTGATCTGCGCTCCGCTCAACATGCATACACGGCGTACAGGCAATTGCTGCAGGAGGCTGACACCACTTTCCCTGAGCTCTGCACTCCAGCGGGCACAGCAACCTGCTCCATCTGCTCAGTCTGTGTCTGCTCAGCTACGCGCTTGGCACAGAGAGATGTTTTAGAGCCACAGCTTCATGCGAATAAAATGGGATTCCTCCAGCTCTCTGCCAGCATTCACTCCTCCTCCTGCTTTTGCCTGTTGGCAGGACAGGCTATGAACTATGCCTCCGGAACAGCTGCACCTCACTCTCTCCACGAACCTCTGCCTTGCCTCTATTGCCATGTTCCATCTTGCTGTCATCATTTCAGTGTCAGCCTCACTACGCTGGATGGCTCTCCGTATATACAACACAGGCCCACTCCTCTCCCAGGTTTGGCAGGGTAACTTACTGCTATAGAGTTTAATGAGCTGGAATAACAGAGGCCACCATTGGCTTTTATATACTTAACACCATATATATGGATGGGAGAAAGGAAATCCATGTGCTAGAACGTATTGCTGTATGAAAAAGTAGGAAAAACAACAAGATGTGCTGTACAGAATAGGCAATTACCAAGATATACATATAAGGAAAAAAAGACTGCTCAATTACAAGTTTTATAGATTTTAATTATATTTTTATGCCCATTGTCTTTCTTTCTTGGCAGCTGGGTAATATGATTTTCACTGCCAAGTTTCTGTTTTCCTTTTCTATTTGGCAGCCATTAGGGTTTTTTTCTTTCCTTCCATCAGTCTAATGAAACTTGAAATTAAGATACTGGTTTTGGTTTGCTTTCTTCAACATCCAGTTTCTAACGCACTACACCCAGGAACACCTCTCCTCTTAAGCGGAGGACCTAATGCCTGGACCTAGTGGAGGGATGCAGCAAACCACTTGCTGCAGAACTGGTTCTCTCCATCTCTGCTGCAGTCTAACAAGGTCTAAGAAAAGGATGTGTCTGTTAACACATGTGTAACCCACAAATCACTGGGATAAAACAGACTACAGCAGTTCTACAAGTTTATGGCAGACAACATGTATTACTCCGAACATATATTCATTAGCAAAAGGCTTGCTGCTGTAATGGTTCTCACAGGAGTCATGATCCACTCATATTAATGGGACTTCAGTCTACTCATTGATGTTATATTCCATAACTGCTTCTTAGGAGCATTATTTTTCCCCAGTTGGGTCCATTTTATCACAAAATAGTTACAGAGATATTTTGCTGGAACTGTTATTACCTGCCTCTAAAATTTTCAGTGATATTTTCACAATTTCAGCGATGTATATAACTTTGAGACATTAGTGTCTCAACACTATTCCTATTAAGTTCTTCAGTGTGCCTTTCTTTGTGAGCATATTTTTAGCTTTCGCTCATAATTATGAAACTTTCAAACACCTTCCATTATTTAAAGTTGTCATGTCATACTACGGTTCCCATAGGTATGATTTAATGCTCAGCTGTTTGTAATCTTTTGATGCTTTATGAAGCAATTCAGTGATAGCTACACACTGTTATCAGTGCCAAAGCAGTGACGCTGCATACATAACAGCAATGCAGGGAGCTAGACTGTATGAAGTACCCAAAGCTTGTCTTATAGTATCTAAAATTTACTTGTGCTGGTATCACTTTTGGCTGCATGACCATCATTTGTGTAGTAACTTAATCTCTTCTATTTTCATATATTTATTGCAAGCATTAGCAATTTATCTGATTATCAACTCTGACAGCCTTCTCTTGGATTTCCAAATTTGATCCACTGTGTATTACACACTCTTGATCTCCAGAGGATACAACTTTGGTATATCTATGCACTAATGGACTTAAGCCTTGATCTGTAAAGATTTATCCTGTGAGAAATTTACATTGATGAGCACGTGTTGCTCTGAACTCTATCAACTAGCAGCAATACTTGAAGATCATCTTCCAGCTGAGGAGGACATCAGCACACAGCTTCCCAGACTTGACACAATCACACCCTGACATGTCCCTGAAACATCCTTTAAAACACATGCCAGAGAAGAGAGACACAGTCAGCAGTATGTTAAGTTAGAGATTTAGGACAAAGAGAGGAGACAAAGAATCTGGCTCACCAAGTCAATACAAGTATTTTTAGGATCAAAGCTGTAAAATGGCAAAGAGTCATTATCATTCCTAACATGCTAAACCCCTCTTCATCACACAGCAAACACAGATCTTGCAAAAGCTTGAGATATGAATGAAATCAGCTCTTCCAAAGCCTTGATCAGTAAACACATGCAGCTGGTTTGCGCCCTCCTCATCAAGTTAGCTCCAGTATAAAATGTTCAAATTCTATCTGGCTTTAAAATATAGGGGGTGATGGCAAAGAGAGAGTATTCTCTACGTTTTAGAGCCACCAAAGTCACTCAGGCTTGTAGGCCATCAGGGCATGCTCCAAATAGCATCCGTGAGGGAAGTTTGAGGTCTGTCAGACAGAATATTGCCAGGAGATGAGATCTCATGTGCTGTGGGATTAACTGCTGGTTCAGTGCTCCAGCTTGCCATTTAGTTAGGGGTTCCCAGAGGTCAAGTTTTGTGCCTTCATCATATGTTAGTCCCTGAAATGAATAAATCCATTACTGAAGTTTAATAAAACAAACTGTTAGTAACATATGATGCAGATTTTTTTCAACTATTTGTCCCTTCGTTCACTGTCAGGTCAATGTTGTAACCAGTAAATCAATTTATCGCTGCTATGACTGTGTATTTTATAAATCTCAGTTTCTCCCCTTACTACATTTTGAATAGATTATTATTAGTAGCAGTTTTCCCTCCAGTTTTTACTGGTAAAAAAACCATCTCTCATAAAGATTGTTAGCATTCTTTCACATAATCCATTGTACTTAGCATCACTGCTTATGCTGATTTCTCTCTGTACCTGCTTCAAACATACTGGTGTTTTGAACAGACATAGTCTACTGCTTATCAGTGAAGAAGATCAAAGCCTCACTACCTTACAGATTCTAAAAGAAACAAGAAATATTTCTTTTAGAAATATTACAGAGATGATATGGATGAAGATCAGAAGAGGCCAGAGGGTTTCATATCATTCATGGTACTTACACTATTACATGCTCCCAGGTGCAAAACACACAACATGGTGCAATCCAACAGTACTACCATGCACCTTTACTTGCACAGTGCCTGTCTGCTCTCATCCCCGCTTCCCTCTCCTGCTTCTGCTAACCTTTGTGCCACCTGAAGTATCTGTGTAGTCTCTTTGTGAAGGAAATCAGGGAAATAAGCTAGCTGAAAACTAGTGTTTGCTCTTGCCTGGTTGCCTTTCATATGAATAATTCCCCTTGTCTAGATTGGCCGCATGGTTGCGCAAATGCTTTTGCCAACCCAGCTCAGAGTATGAAAGGGAGGCAGGACTGAGCAGCTGGGAACAGCTTTGCAAGCTTACATTACCAAAGACATACCCATACACAAACCCTTGGCTCCAGCTGACCCTGAGAAGCATCAATGCACAGTCCACAGGCTTAACTTGAAGAACGTGAGTAGTCTCATTAAGGTCTAACGCAGAAGTGCTTTGCTGGCCCCGCGCCAGACTGCTCAGCCTCTTGAAAGATCAAGCTTTATCTACCACGCCAAAGAGGAGCTGAGCACGTTCTCACTCCTATCACTGTTGGCTCCAGACACAGAAAGCATCACAAGCTCTGGTCTTTGTGAAGTTGTGAACCAGGTTTTCTCACCCTGACCCAGCTGATAAATGTCGCCTGAAAAGGAGAAATGACTGTGAAAATAATCTAACTAATGGAAAATGATTAGCACAGGATGCACCTGGAAGACATCAATACCCTTTCAGATATTCTCATCTGAATATAGCAAATTGTGGTAACATGCATACATGCGTCATGGACAAGAATGTTGCACTGTACCTGGGTAATCCTCAGAGACATGCACTGAATAGGATACACTGCAAAAAGAAAAAAAAGAGAAATAACAGAATTAGTAACAACAATATTAACTGCTGGCATAACATTTTTTTCCTGCTCCTGTATTATTTTATGTTTATTTATAGGTTCCTGACAGTTTCCAGGACAGAAGGTAACAACTATTTTGATGGCTTTTGAAGTGCTCAGCAAAAAAAAAAAAAAAAAAGCGTCATGCCCATTTTGAAAGCTTACTTTGCTAAATTGGCATATCCCAATTTCAACCTTCTTAAAAAGAATATCAAGACTGTATTATATTCACTTTAGAGAAACATTGCACAATATCTGTACTTATGTTTAAAAAAAAAAGTTGCTCTTTGAACACCAGAACTAGAAAAACCCAGTTTTCCATGCATCTGGTTTCTGGGGTTGACTCAAGACTCAGTAGGAAGCCTTTCTCACTGGCTGGGGCACTTCTGTACATTCCTGTTAGTCTCAGCAAAGGCTCTGGATGGCTCGGGCTCCTTCCTCTCATCAAAACCCCATGTTTTTAACAGCTGTGGCAATTTTATTTGATACCTGTACCTCTTTGTCAAGCTGAGCTTAAATCAAATTTTAAAGAGCCACGGTAACACTAAAGGGTAGCTTCACTGCATGGATTACCTGAATCTGTTTCATCAGAAAACAGTCATACAAACACACCACCCTGGTCCTCCATCTCAGCCCACATGTGCTTTCCCTGCCACTCAGTGTGATTTTCACTAAATTCACTGCTGAGAGCAGGACAAATGGGCATGATGGTCTGCTCAGTTATCTAACTACCCACGAAGTCCTTCCGATTTTTTTTAAGGTTAATGTGTGTCTTCATTTTGCATTAAAAACATTAAACTCTGTAGCACGCTGAAAGCTTTCTGTTGTATAATTCATGCTCCTTCCACTTCTAAATCCTATAAACTGTATGTTTCAACTTACACATTTAAATAATACATGGCGTGTGTTCATGTCTGTAGTGAGTTAAGACAGGCAAAGGCAGGATGGCACCATCCTCTTAATAAATTTTGATATGTATTGTACTTTGCTGAAAATTGATTCAGTGGATCATTCTAAATGACATGAACACAACTTCCATGTAGACTACAAAATAAAACCAAGTATGATTTTTTTCTTTTTCTCTCTCAAGGACTTCCATTAAATGAGTTCCACTTTCACAATCCAATGACTGTAGGAGGCAATCAATACAAGAAAGTACGTCCCTCACACTTTCTTCCATAAGTCAATCTATTTCCACACAGCTCCTGGTTTTGTACATCATCTATTCTAGAGTAATTCATTTTATGTATTGTTTGACTAAGAGGCAAAGATGCCTGTTTCTTCAACAGCTGCAAATGTTCATAAAAATTGAAGCAGAAAGAGTGTTTATTACAGCTGACAACAAATTTAGCCACACAACTCTTGACAGCCTCAGTCAAGCCAGAATTAAATCCCATCGCTGTGTAAATTCAACATTTTGTGATTTTTCTCTTTTAATTATTTTTCAGACATTTGGAATAGGCAGCATCTGTATCCCCTCATCTTGGAGCATTTTCCCTAAAGACCGGGGTATTTAACTCTAATTAATCTGTCATGGCATAAAATATCACTATTTTAAATAGGGTAATATTCCAAAATAAGGAAATGTTATATTTCAGTGCAATCATGTGTGGAGAATTTTGCCTTGTGGTGCCAAAAAAAAAAAAAAAAAAAGGCTCGCTTGCACCAACCCCCCCAGGAAGTTAACTAAGGGCCTGTTCTTACCAAAACCCATCTTCCAGACATTGTGTTTGTAACGATGACTTCTTCCTTCTACTACCAAAAGAGGTACTTCAGTCTCACTCTTTTAGACTGGCTGCTTGCACACCTCTTTGCTGCCTCCAGAATGGCTGTGTATGGGTTTGTTTGGCTATTGTTATATAGGATTATCTTCAAATGTGGACTTCTATTCCAAGAAAAGAAAAAATCTTTCTGGAACTTCCTCCATATTTGAATTTAAAAACCACCTCAATCCAATTTAAAAACTGCAGCAAAGCAGGGAAATTCCACGTATGTATAAAAAAAATGTTCTTCACGTTGAGAACAAGACCGAGGCTGAAGAAGTTACAGAATTTCCATCAGTGCAGATATTCAAAATTCAACTGGATAAGGCCCTCAACAACCTAATCTAACTTTGAAGCTGGACTTGACTTCGAAGTTAACTTCTGCTTTGAGTGGGAGGTGGACCAGGTAGTCTGCACAGGTCATCCCCCACATAATTACTCCATGTGCGCATGTGCAGAAACCCTATGAAAGTGTGTTTCTCTTCCTTCTTCTTCATCATGTGTTATCTGGGGCAGCAGCAGCTGTGGCGACATTAAATGGAAACTAGTAGGAAAAAAGTACGCTGTAGGTCTTGTGAGATGGAACTAAAATGAAAAGGTTCACGAAGATGCAGCTTAGAAATAGTCTCAAACCAGATCCTGTAATGACTGTAAGCAAATTCAAGGTCTGACCCAGAGCCCACCGAATCCAGCAGTAGTCTCACTACTAAGATGAATATTATCAGAGAGGAGAAAGGAAGGGTAAAAATCATGTGAAGTAAAATTATTCTGTGATCCCAGTAATAAAAAGTCCCCTTACAGAAAAAAATTTGCCACCAAAATCTGATGTCACCTCCATCTGAAAAGCATTAATAGAAAATCTATCTGTCAAACCAGAATTAAATAGTAGTATGTTGGAAAGAGTAATGGAATCTGATGAGCCTGAGCTGCCACTTCAGAGGAAAGTGTTAAAAGAAAACGTGAACAAAGATTAAAGAACAAAATGCCTGAAAATGGGATATTTACTTCCAAATAAAATAAACCAGTAGTTTTTATTAGAAACACTGCTGACTCAGTTTAGGAACTAAACAAACTTAGTTTAGTTCTCAACTCAGCAGAACTATTAGTTTATTGTGCTAGGTGTGTTTAATCTGAAACTTTTTACATTATTAGTTCATCGCCCTCCCTCCTGCAAAAAAGAGTATGTCTAATTGTCTTCCTTCCATCTAAATTCAAATCTTCAGCACATGTTGGGATCTCTGTGCTGCCCGCTCTTCAGTGTCCCCAGATCAGTGTACTCTGAGAAGTATTAGTGAAGTATTACATCAGAGAAAGCTCTTGTGGGAGCAGCCTTCTACATAGCCCATTACTCTCACACATATTTAAACTCATATTCAGGGAGAATAAATGGCTTGTTTGAACCCCCATAGAGATGTGGTGGTGCTTTGCGCGGGCTTGTAATCTGATGTTAGGTACGCGCACGCTATGGAAGCAAAAAGCAGAACTAAAACTACTGAACAGAACAAAACTTGGTTTTGTGTCCCAGCTTGCTCTTGTGATTGTCACACAGGATCACACTTTGGCACATTTTTTTGCACTCAGGATAAACTGCTTCCTACTGGCTGTGCACCTGATGTGTCAGAAAACAAGATATACCAGGCTAACAAAGGTCACTTAAGAGGCTCCTGTCCTGCAGCCACCCAAGCATTTTCCCGCTGACTTCAGTGAGATTTAGAGCACAGACAGAAACACAGGACTCTGATGCCTTACAGCACCTTAAACAGCACAAACTTCAGTGAAGATGCAGATGTTCAACACCTCTTGGTGTTAAACCCTCCTAGAGCCAAAGAAAGCCTTTACTGAAGCAGATTTCTTGTTTAAGTACTCAGAAATGCAACTGGAATTAATTTAGGCCTGGCCCCCACACAGAAGTATAACATGATTATTCCAGTGAGGGATGTGATTTTTCCTTCTGGCAATGCAGTTCCTCTGTACAACCCTATTGCAGTTACATTGCTATAAATACAGCTTAAAGCACTATAATTTATTTCCATTCCCATAAACACATTCTAACCAGCCAACCATAGTCCTTGCTTTTTCAGTTATATTGCTTTAGCTACACGAACACAGTTAAACCCATGGGTGTAAACAAAGCCTCAATGATGGTGTTATTTCTGTTTTATTCAGCTTAGACCCTCTGCAGAAGGCATCCTACACTACGTATGTTTGTTGAGCCTTAAGCTCAAAACAAGCTTTGTAGTAGAAATGGCCTAGTAAAATTTTTGTTATTTAACAAACAGTAAAGCACCATATGAGAAATTAGTGAGAGCTGTCATGTTTCACTGCTTATGAGTTTTTAATGTAAACTTATTGCTTGAAATAATATTAACATGTAGATCCACAGCCTTAGCTTAGTAACAATTCTACTCACAGAGTACTCCTTGCAAGCATTTTCCAGTGTGTTTTAACCTATCTATTCCTTCTTCAGAAAGATTATGCTGCTTTTGAGAACTAATTCATCAACTAGATGGGGATCCACCACATAATTGCTATTTTTCAGGTGGATCTGTCCCAATTTGATACAGAACAAGCAGATTCACCTGCATTTGACATGACTATAATTTCTCAAAGCTAGTTAAAAAGGAGTCTAGAGTCCAAACTGATTATACTACCAGGCAAAATATTGTTCCAAAATTGAAGCTCTAGGGCAAAGAAAAAAATCCATGAAAACTGAAAAAGGCAGCAAAGCAAAAATTACTGCAACAGAGCATATTCATAAAAAGGGAAAGAACCAGCTTCACCTTCTTTACATCAGTTTGTAAGATTGTTTCCCATGCCTTGAACTGCAGTTTTTACCTATCACGGTACAAACCTCAGGATCAGACATGCATCCTGAAGCCACAACAGTGACACCGGAGCTGGAGTGTATGACATATCTTCCCATCAAATTCACGTTATCTCAACTCTCTATGCCACCTGTAGTTTCTCTCTAGGAAAGAAATCCTTTAAGCTGAATTTCCAGCTGTTTTGCACAGCAGAAACAGCACGAAGCATCTGGTGCAAGTCTAAGATTTATGCCTATGGAACGGTTATGACAATTCAACCAGCTCTGTCCCATGGCAACAGCTGACTTACTGCCTTATTAAGTGTGGAAATTGTGATCTAGTTTCTATTCCAGATTTAGCTGTCTCCACTAGAGCCAGAGCTCCATG